TCCTTATTCTCCTTAACAACTTCTTCTCCTACTTACTAATAGTTATTTAGGTAAGGCCTCTTATTCTTTCTCTTCTTTCTCTTCTTCCTCTTCTTTTTCTCTCTTTCTTTATTTTCTTTCTTTCTTTTCCTTCCTTCTTTCCTTTCTTTTAGTCTTTCCTCTATCTTGTCTTCTTTTTTTTTTTTCTTTTTTTGATGATTAGACTTACTAATATAATAGTAGTTATTATGTCTTAGTGCATAGGCTGCGGTGCTCCTTTACCTAATAATAGGCAACTCATTGAAGTTGGTTTTAATAACATAACTACTAATCTGAACCTTGATGGCGACCCATTCTAGGTGGAGGCTTTCCACCATACTAGCATGACCTACCACTATATTTTGGCCTAGGCTACCTAGATTGCTCAGGCGACCTTTGGCCAGGTGCCTGTGGTGACTAACATACAGGTCCTTATGGATGATGATTAGTGGACACCTGTAATAAATAACCTAGTTATTATCTAGGGTATAGAGTATTTTATAGTCTATTTCTACTTTGCTTTTACTGCTCTGGTTAGGGGAATTTAGGGGAGGAAGGAAAAAGGAAGGATTAGAGGGATTCTTTATATACTTAGTAGTCTAGGCCTTTAGAATAAAGGCTCCTATCTCTTACTTTTAGATCCTGAATAGGATCAGAATATTATTATAATTTTATTTTACACAGGTACCTGAGCTAAGTAAACTATATTACGTAGCCTAGGATAAGACTGGCCTAAGAAGGATATATATAAGTCCTATCTATATAAAGTACTTGGGGCTCCTATTTTATATAGAGGCTATTATGGGTATACTATAATAAATATTATACTATAAACATAGATAGGGAGTAGTTATATACTATAATCTATCTTCTCCTAAAGCTAGGGGCTAGCTTACTGGTATATATCTACCCTATAAGCTATTGTACATTCCTAATAGCAAGATGTAAACAAGATTACAAGAATGGTGAGATATTAATGCTATAAAGGGTATAGACCATGCCTACTAGCAAAGAATAGTTCTTATAGCTACTAATAGGATTATACTATACTAAATCCTTAATATTAAATATGCCCCTCACTGCGCCTGTAAATCATTTGTTAAATTAAAGACTAAAATAGTGGTTAGTTAAGCTAGATAAATAACTGCTGTTCCACTTTATATATATATAGTTAGGTGGTAATTAATAAAATCTTTATCTAATAAATATATATAAGTATAACCCTATTTAATAAGCAGACAGGATATAATGTATAGAAGAATAGGACTTAATATGGATATATAATATTAATAAGACTATATATATAAGCTAAATATTAAGCCTCTAGGCTAGTCTTAGTCCATGTCTATCATAATATATGGCTATTTAGCCAGACTAGTATTAAGATCCCCTTACCATGCCTGCTTGTGAGGCCCTAGATAGGTCTTAAACCCTAGAAATCTATACCACTCCTAGCTAATGGCCTGGTACTAGCAGTACTATATCTCTATATGACCTAGTGCCTCCTGCAGTCCCCGTGTATATACTATGCCTGCTATCCAGGATCCATGACTTACCTACTTATTAAAGGCTATATCATCTGTCCTATAGTCCTGTTTAAAACCCCCACATTTCAGGTGCACCTATGAGATGGTGATGGCTGCATAATAGTAGGATAGGATATTAAGCTTAATCTATAGGTGGGTCTTTGCCTCCTACTAAAGGATCTTCTATAGCTAGTTACTGCCCTAGGTCCCCTCCCCCACAGGCTAGAGGTAGGGGGACGCAGTCCTACACTAATTATAGGCTAGCTACTATAGGGACTGATAGAATGGCAGGATTAGCTAGAGGTAGTAGACCACCAGCTCACTAACTACCTTGGGGAGGTAGCGGTGGATAATCTTAGTAGAGTTACTGATTAAATATCCCTTATAGTAGGTAGTTATAGTGCTGACCAGGCCGTGCTTAATAAAAATAGACTGGTGGCGGCCATGCTTTATATTATTATAGGTTAGGGTTAGCAGCTCAGTGGCCCGCCCTAGCTGGCCATTAGTGATATATACTAGCAGCAGTAGCTGCTGTAGGAACCTATCTATCTGCTATAGATACTGGGCCACAGGCCCCTCCTACTATAGGACCTCATCCCACTACCTAATCTAGTAGATCTCTATGAACTCCTTCTGCAGCTAATTAGCCCCTAGGACCTAGTTTAGCAACTAGTATTCCCCCTGGGTAGGTAGGGCCTTATAGGTTTAGGGGTCCTGTAGGAAGTTCTACCCCTGCTAATTATTAGTAGGGTTATCCTATAGCTCCTATAGTATTAGTTATAGGACTACCTCCTCCTGAACCTCCTCCTCATGCAGTAAGAATAGCTGTATAAGCTCTACCTAGGCTAGCTAAACCTAGTTAGTAATAAACTAGTGGAACCCCTATATGCTTATCTATAGGTCCTTATAACTTAGGGTCTGCTCATCATCACTCTAGTAGATATAGCCTATGCTAGTAGTACTGTTCTGGATTTTCTTCCTATATATGTGTAGTTAGGTGATCTAGCTAAAGGGGGCACGCACCCCATATAGTAAGAAGTGCTTGTGCATCTCATCCAGGGCATCTATAGGGTGGGTAACCTGGCTAGTCTTAGCCAGGCAGATGGCCTGCAGGGCCACCAGCATCTGGGCCATCTTGATCAGGCTAGACAGGTAGCTGGTGTACCCATAGGGGTCCTAGAAGGTTTAGTGCGTGGGGTCCACCCCTAGGACTACTAGGAAGCTAACTAAGGTGCTATTAAAAAGGTCTCCCTTTAGGGGATGGTCTAGCAGGGCAATTAAGAGGGTGAGATAGGCCTAGTCTAGCTATTTTTATACCTTTCCTTGCAGTACTAGCTGGTGCTGGCCCTATAGATCTAGCAGCTACTAAGCATGCTCCTCCATCTGATCCAGGGCAGCTAGCTGGGCGGTGTTAAGCTAGTAGCGCAACTAGATGGGTTGATCTGGCTGGGTGCTGCAGTAGGTGAAGCAGACTAGTTACTGCCATACCTAGCAGTATTAATGGTAGGTAGCTGGCCATAGATGGATCTAGATGGGTTGGTTCCACACATTAGGCTTGCGAAAGAAGGTGTTAATCTAGATCTAGTTAAACTTATTTAGATGGCCATCCTTGATCACCTGGTAGGCTTGGTTAATTAACTGCTTAATACTGGCGCTGAACTGTATAAGAATAAGCTCTATGGCAGGATCAGGTAGGCATCCTAGCAATACTACTGCGGCCAGGTCCTGTCCCTGCAGATACTCTGGCTAGTGGGTTAGCTTGAGCCAGGGGGACACAGCTATAGGGTGGGGATTAATTACTAGCACCTAGTTATTCTTAATCTCTGCTGTAGCCTCCCCCTCCCGCAGTACCTAGTCTATATAGGCGCGGATCTGCTCCGCCATGGTTATTAGGATACTGGCCTGTAGTGCCTGCTTGCTAGGAGGTGTGGCAGCACAGGTGACCTTAAAGAACTAACTCCCATGCTTGCTAGGGAAGAAGTGCTGGCAGGAGATAGTATAAGTAATAAGATGGTAGCTAGTCTTTGCCTGCCACTGTGACTGCTGCCTATAGCTATAGGGAGGCTCTAGGTCTTTATAGGTCTCCTAGTGGTGCTTCTGCATAGTCTTAGTGGTGTGAGTAACATAGGAGTAATAGGGGCAGTTATGGCCCTAGTAGACTAGTAGCCCTAGGACTGGTGGGTCTCCTAGGGATGGGATCACACAGGGTCTCTTAGTGGGATTAATTCATGGGTGCTTCAGCATCTCTATCAAGACTGCCTCACGCAGGGCCAGGGTGGCCACGGTTAGGTGTAAGCAGTGATGGATATAGAGGTGGGTGAGTAGGGTCTGTGATGAGATAGTATACTAGCACTAATATGCTGTGTAAATCCAGACCTCATAGGTTAGATTATAGATAAAGAGGTCCATATTATGCTGCTGATTAAGTGCAGGATTAGAATTAATAAAAGGAAAATAGCATTCTAGGGAATAAATAAAATAAAGAGGAAGAAGAAGTAGATGGATAATTACATAGCTTTAATTATAGGAGGCCGCAACACCAACCGCGACACATGGTAAGGTGGTTATGATGCGGCAACAGGGGAGGAAAAGAAGCAATTATATCTTCCTTATTGATGTATCTGAAATGAAGTTGGTCTACGGAGTACTATGTAGGCATATATGAAGCTATTAGGGCAGAACGCAGGCAGGCAGGTGGGCAGGCGGTGAGGGAAAACCAAAACCGACGTCGCCCACCCCACCAACCAATCAGGGGCGGAGAAAACCGAGTGTACGTAGGGTGGTTCACGGACTAGGGACTAGAATATCCGTTTACGCTGTTTGAACCCAGAGACCAAGTTTAGTCCTCATTTATTGAAAATAATCTTTTATAATAGGAAGAACGCAAGGGGTACTGTTTCAATCCACCTTGACTGAACAAAAAAATTAAATAAAGGATAAAGACTGGGAATTTCGCAGGACGTCTTTACCTACAGCCTTACTGCACGAGTCTCCGTTATAATTTGCACAACTAGGAGCACCTTCGGCTCGATGTATGCTGCCGACTTTGGTCACCAGACGATCAAAACACACCACACCGCACCTTCCATACATAAAGCTCCTTGCGCTTTCAAATAATACCATAGATACGAGGCAAATCTTGCCAAGAGTGGACTGGCCTGCAAGGGTCTTCAATCTGGAAAGATTGCCGCACGTAGAGGTATGCGTAAGGGATTAACGTGATACAAGGTAGTATGCAGCATACCACTAGGTGTGACTATGTCATACTCCATACCGAAGTGAGCCACACTAAGACTTTATTGGGAGGTTAATACTGCGGCTTTACCACCTGGATTCGCCTACATCGTCCCTAATTCACGCGATTACAGGCTATAAATCCGAAGGCTTAGCAATCGAGCCAAACGGCATGACCCGCGCTACTCGAATCACTCAATTCACCCATACACGATAACAACAATGAGTCAGCTTCAGAGTGTCATCGCCAATCAGACTGGCCTATTACTTGCCCTTGGTATCGGCTTGGCTGTTCTCGCCATTTTATCGCCAAAGCAACATTATAAGGGCAAGAAGGTGTTTAACGATCGAAAAGGAATGGAATGGCTCTACACGAATGCAAAAATACGGTTTGTGAACCATGGGAGGAATATGTTCAAGGCAGCATTTGAACAGGTAAACCTCTGCCATAACTCACTCCTTTATATGTTTTCAGGCACACGGCACGGAGCTAACGTGACAAGCAGTCTCAGAATGCATTTTATATAGTGACAAGCCGCGGAGTCGAGATGATCCTCAGCCATAAATATATACCTGAAATCCGCAATGATGACAGATTCAATTTCCCCCTTCGGATTGAACAGGTATGATCCTTCATCCATCGCGATGCTGAGATATCCCAGTGTGCTCACTCGACCCACCTAGCTGCTCCACGGACGTATAAACGGATTCGAGATGTTCAAGCAGAGCCCGTTGGAGAATAAGCTCTTTATAGACGCATTCCAAAGTAGGATGACACGTGAGATTGGTGGGTGACATTTCCCCTTTCCGCTGTGAAATTTCTACACTGATAATCGTTCCAATTTCCAGGACAGTTTCTTCTCCCGATTTCGCAAGAGATTGAACATTTCCTCCAGACGCGGTGGACCGACAACTCCGGTAAGATGAGACAGTCTAGAAGCACTTCCGGTACTAAGTTGAGCGTCACAGAGTGGCATGCATTTAGCCTATACCCTAGCATAGTGGACCTGATAGCACAGGGGTCTTCAAGATTGTTCGTGGGACCGAACCTCTGTCGCGACCCGGACTGGCTGCGGGTGACAGTGAGCTACAATGCAAATTTCTTCACCGGCGTTGACTGGCTTGACTGGTGGCCCACTGTCCTGAGGCCTCTTGCTGCCAAGTTCTCACTAGCCTGCCAGCGAGTCCGTGGCGACCTGGCAGAGGCGCGACGGATTCTGGCTGCCTTCGTAGCAGAAAGACGGGCGCAAAGAGCGCGCGGAGAAAAAAGAGAAGATCTCTTGCAGTGGTTTGAGGACGGAGCCAATGGCGCTCCTTACGACCCTGCTCTACTCCTCCTCAGAGCCTCGCTTGCGGCTCTTCACACGACATCTGACCTCCTCACACAGACACTCTTTAACCTTTGTAGCCGCCCGGATCTAGTCACAGATCTCCGCAAGGAGGCTGCCGCGGTCCTCGGAAAGCATGGTTTGCAAAAGAACGCAGTGTACGAATTGAAACTGATGGACAGTGTCATCAAAGAATCGCAACGGCTTAAGCCGCTTTTGCTGAGTGCGTATTGACCTTCTCCTTCTCATCATTTGTTTCGCCATCTCTCGTGCCCAACTATCGTCAATTCGCCACAACTAACATCTGCCTTCCCTCACCAGCGAGCTTCTCTCGAATCACGGTGGCGGATGTAACTCTCTCTGACGGCCTCGAAATACCCAAAGGAACACCAATCCAAGTCTCTAACCGCAATATGTGGGACCCGGCAGTGTCCGAATACACCGATGCCGACAAATTCGATGGCTACCGGTTCTACAACCTGCGTCGGCTCCCCGGGTACGAGAACACGGGGCAGCTTGTGACAACCAGTCCCAGCCACACAGGGTTTGGGCTGGGTAAGCATGCATGCCCTGGACGATTCTTTGCAGCTATAGCTATGAAGCTAATTCTCTGTCATATTCTGCTAAAGTATGACATTCGGCTTGCAGAGGGACAGGTACCGAAGCCGGTGTATCGTGCTGATACACAGATTGTGGATCCTGTTTGTGAGATTTTGGTCAGGAGGAGGAAGATGGAGATTGATTTGGCGAAGCTTGCTGAGTCCATCGAGTAAAGTACCATCGCCCCGTTATTCCGAATCAGCTCCAGCGAGAATATGGGTTAGTTGGCGGCCGTTTTCTGTTTGCCCACCCGTATAAAGAGGGTTACCATGGTTTAGTAAGCCTTGTCTACTTTCTGAGATAGTTGCTACCTTGATCTCAATTAAGGATTTGGTGTCAATTCATATGAATTAACGCCAGTAGGCATTACCCGCCTAGACTTAAGCACCACAACCCCGCAGGCTGGCGGATACTGTATGAGCAAGGGTCTACCTGCCCTATACTGTATGTCTACAGGTTACCAGCTCGAAATGATATTCCCATTTCCCATCGGAGACGGAAAGCATTTGGCCCGAAACCGCAACACAAGAGCAACATACATAGCAGTATATGTGTGCTGGGACTAGGAAGACTGGAAGACCCGAGGAATGGAGTGTATACTTTGAATGGCCTGATTTCTAGGGTGTTATGTAAGCCCTGGTCCGTGGACATAACTATTGGCAAGGGGCTCTTGGAAGACAAAATGCCCCTTGCTGGTTGTACTATCTGCGCGATTGTTGATTATCAAGGCATCTGAGGCAGTACCCTGACATCGACTCTAAATAATGAACTGAATCGGGCAAGGCGGCTTGTTGCTTCCGGTATCTCATGCGCAGGCGTATCTGGCTTACAGAAAATCCTATACCACGCCGGAACATAGCCAAAAGATATTTCATTTTATGCAGCCACCTATATAGTCGACCGGGCATTATCAACAGGGATCACAGCCCGCTGACCCCCCTGCTGCAACCAGACAACAAGTAAAGCAGCCCTTGTGCGACGTCCTCGGGCTGCAGACCAAACCCCTTTTCATCATCACTGGCATGGGTCTGGTGAATCTGAGACATCATCGCCAGAGCCGCATTATCGAACCGAGCCGAGTCCACCCCATCGCATATCCCTGTCACCTCGACCTCTGACCACGATATTAGCCACTTACCTACTTACATTACAACCTTGACAGGTATATCTGCTTGAGCACTCCCCTCCCAGACAGAAAACGTTACACCGGATCCCGTCATGCTTGAACCTCCACGCAACATTCTTTGTAGCCCCAAATATGCCATGCTTACCGGCATATTTCGCTTTATCAGAATCAGAACCACAATCAGAGTTCTTGGAGAACACTCTTATCACAACTTACTCACCGTATACGCAACCCAGAAACAGCACCACTCAGCCCCGCCTTACTCACCACATTAACAATACTCCCCCTCCCCCCTTCTTCATAAGCGGAATAACATCGCGCATCAGCCTCACCGGCACAGCCAAGTCAACAGCAATACAGCGGTCCCAAACGGCGTTTGCCAATGTATCAGCACTCTGATTTGAGTTCCATCCCCCCGGCGGCATTCCGGACCAAAAACACTCCGCTGGTCATAAGAGAATTTGACTATTACTTTGGCTTTTTTTCTACGATAAGTGCAAGTTGTGCAATTCTCAAGTCAATGTATGTCTTTGGATGCGGTTGTTAGGAAGGTGCTGCCTGAGGGAGCCATTGTGTTCGGTCCGTATGGTAGGGGTGTGCAATGTGTGGGGCGATGGGGTTGGTTTTCACAATCAAAGTGACAAAGGAAGCTCTTGCATATAGGGGGTTGGTTATATATACCTGCAATGCCGACGCTATTCTCAGGAAGTGGTTTTACGTCCGGTCGCATGTTCCGGAGGAGGAATTATCATCCAACCACCTGTGAAGGCATGAATGAACCTTGTGTGGATGGGACTTGTCTTGGGGTTAGGGTTAAGTGGCGGGCCAGGTGAGTAGTTCTGTGTCTGGAAAACACGACTACAGTATGACGAGGAAGAACGACGACGCATTTAATTCGTTTTTGACCAAGAATATCACGATGTAAATACCCTAGCTCACTGAAGCGTAGAGCATGTGCAAGCTCTGTCTTCGTAGCCGACATGATGGATAGTTGTTAGGAACAGAATATGATACCCATGGTATCTCGGTTGGAAAACATGGCGACCCTCAAATTTCGTTGGTGCTCCCTTTTCAAGGCTGGTCTTTTATCAGCCTGAAAGACCTATGTCGTCACTACCTTAGGACGGCTTTCTCTATTGTAAGCGGCATTCCTCGCGCTAGCACAACGCACGATATTTGGTTGGGTTGGAAAAGGCATCGTGCTGATGGCAAATGGCTCTACCATCCGACTAAGACGAGATCTCAATAAGATAGAATTGCCCGGGCAAGATAGAACGTCAATGGGCAGATCGTCAGCAAAAACCAGCCGTTATCCTGGTCGTTCCTAACTGCATCCACCTCTTTACGAATACGGTGATTCCATTTGTTAGAAAACCGTAGTAGTAGCTCAAGAGCTTTAACTCGGGTGGGTCCGGTGGCGGAAGCCCTTTTCGGAGAGGTCATGGAGATAACCGAGCGATCTCCCTCTATTGTGGGTTAACTGAACTGGCTCATCGAGACAAGCCAAATAATGACCGGGAGAATCACATGGTCGCGCTGCACGCCAGTAAGCCGTACCACTTGGAAAGCCGAACGCAAATGACTAATGGAGAATATGACATTCCACCATATCATCAAAAAATTGGCGCCAGTGAAAATCTGTTACTACATCCAAATCAGACTGTATCGTAATCCGTCTTTACTGGCAACAAGAAAATCTCTAGCGCGATATTCTGAACGCTGAAGTATCCCTTGCCTGGAGCTTCGGGAGAAGGGATTTTGCATAGAATGCCGCCAATGGAAGCGACGACGAACCCACCAATTGACTAAATGGCCAAACGTTGCATCCGGTGGTGCGGCGTTTCGACAACCCTAAACAGGGTCTGGACGAAGTAGGGATGCTCGTCCGCGCGGTCGAGAGCATGGTGTCAAGGCACAGACGACCTTCTGGAAAGCTCAGTGTTAGCGGGGAAGTACTGGCCATTAGTGGATAGAAGCTGGGGTCAATGGACAAGATGCTCGGGCGACCGTGATACTTCAAAGGAAATCCCTAGACAAGCCCAACGGATCGAATTACCCAGACGCAACTTCGAGGCTGTCGCCACTTGCTCCGACCTGATGTAACTTTCGGTCATTACGAGGATATTACTTTCAGTGGCTGATGACGTGGCGGTGTTCCTAGGAAATGCTCTATATTCTGCCTGTGTCAGCGATACGTACGACATCAATTTCTTGTATTACTGAACACTGTTTTCCGACCATACCCAGAACAGCAGTATCCCCCCCTGCTGACAACTGAGAGGGTATCCGGAGTCTGGAACGTGTAGTCGAACCAGATAGAAAGGTCTTAGTGTATCGCGCGTCGCTCAACAGGGAGCCATCTGACGGGATAAGGAATTGTCAGCCTGAATGTTGGCCTTGGAACCTGCTTGTCACAAAGGGCTTCCAGAAACAGACCTCTTGCTATCTGTTAACTTGCAAGCTACTGGCTCTCACGGGGAAGGAGAGGCAACCAGTCTATAAGAGACGCTGACTTCTGATTAGACTAAGAGGGAAGTATGTCTCCCTTATATTGACATTATATAGATAATGGTGTATACAGGGGATGTAATCTCATATCACTCACTTTTGCCGAAGACCAGCAATTTAGCCAGTTAACCATCATAGTCTCCATATCTATGTATGGTCTTGTATCCTAGGGCAATACAGCTTTGTTGCCAACCAGCTGAGATAACAACCGGTTACTTCTACAAAGGAGATATATTGGGTAGCTCAGGACAGGATACGACGATACGACGCCGTACACGGGCTTTGACAGGAGTGTCAGGCTCGAAGAGACCACAGGCCTCTTTGGTCTTAGCTAAGTAATTGGCCGGAGATCCAGAGACTCTTTAAGGTAAAATCACATTCTATTTTGGGTTTGGGAACTACACTCATCCTTCATATGCTATTACTCTAAGTTACAGTTATTTCTCTGATTTGCTTGGGGTTGCTACAGATACAGGTACTACTTACTTTGACTTTCACGATAAACAATGGTGACGCCCAATGCCAGTGGAAGATCCCCGAATTATCGCGGTTTTTCGTGGACTGAGGTCTGCCCTGTGGTAAGAGATGCCCTGTGGTAGGCCACAGCTTTTTGTGTTAAATAATTTGAAGAGGTTGAAAGGTAAGAGGTTGTTATTATGCACGTTGTGAGGGGCAGGTGAACTGCAGAACGTCACAGCCACCGTGATGTTCAACACCATGGGCGGGCTCAGAAAACGAAAACCTATCCAACCCGCGTTGTGACAAGGTCTACCTCCCATTGTATCTAGGGATTGACCTACGCGATATCAGGTTTAAGCCGGAAGGTAATTTTTGCTTGCATCACAGCCATAGTCATGGAATAGAATATTATCAACATGACCATAATATAGCCTTGACTCGCGGCCTATTTAATGGACATATTGTTACCACTGTACGAACATGTGATCCAAAATACCCAACCCGCCCAGTCAGATGCTACTCGCCAATCTCGTTGTTATTTAAGCCCCGGTTCGTAGATTACCGGTTGATATGTGAGTCTCATCTTGTCTTCTGCGCAATTTCTTTCTGTTGGTTCCTCTCTCCCTCCCTGGCTCGAATATAGCGCAAGGCAAAGAAGTAGCCGAACTCGACTGCATAGGTCACTGCGCAGTACCACTTCATGAGAGGTGTGTCCAGGAAGTCGAACACCCGAGGCCAATAAGAGACCCTCAGATATGCATTGTAACCAGCTGCAATATTTCCGATGAACCGGGATGCCCTTGGTACATTGGTGAGCAACCCAACTATCTGACTCAGGAAATAACTAACCACGTTGTGTACGAAGTACCCCGCGAGCTACCACGTATCAATAGCTGGCATAGGGACCCGACCGTGAGCAAAAGATAGCAAAAGCAGGAGACCACGTTCGCAGCAAGGCCTGGTCCCATTGTTGCAGCAGCCGCGAGTTGCCCGGCAATGCAAACCATCGTCGTCAGGGCGAATATGAGTGGTATATTGTCACGGATTAGAGGGGCATGCTGCCACTCATTTGGCGCATATCGAATTGCACATAGCATGATGGCCGGGTTCAGGAGTAACCAGGTGACAATCATGGCTTTCTGATAAGGGTCATTGCAGGGATAGACCATGGTATACACGATCTCCCAAGAGATATTCAAACACAGCGGAAAGATGGCCATGCCGTACGAACGGTCTTTGACGGATCTGTATATCGAGTCGCCATAGTTGACTGCCCAGCCGACGGTTTCGATAACGGTGGCCGTGTTAGCAGCCCAAGCAATAGCCTGGTATTCTGGAGGTGGAGGAGATCCGAAGAACCAGTCCATTGCAATAGAGCAGGATAAAAAAAAAGTATATCTTGAAGATGCCAAACTGGAGAATACCAGTCTTATATTGGGGATTAGCTACTGAGATCGCACTTGGGGGGCGGCAGGGGGAACTGGTTTATTGGCCCTGCAAGGAGGTCGCATATTGCATCGTAGCTATGCGTCACCCCTGGCTGCTGAACTCATGAAGATTAGTTTCTGAAAGTGCTGACCGCTGGTCCCTCAGCGAGTAATAGCGGTTGATGCAGTTACAGACGACTGTAAGGGGGCGCGGGGAGTGGGGTCTAGACCACTAATAGAATGCACGAACCGCTTTCCTCACGCAGAGGACATGCGAGTACCGTCTGCGCGGTCTAAGATGTGAAGGACTGAGCCTAATTACGCACAATCATTGTGATGAGAGCAATTTGGATCTTGATGGCAAGCCATGACTTAGCACAAAGTTGAAATTATTCACGGATTTGTACACCATACATGACTTGAGACATTAAACGCGGGTTCGGCCATCTACTTCTGAATGTTGAAACTGCTTACTTCACCTGGAAGCCCGCTGTTGTTCTCCTCCAAAGCCTGGAGAGACTTATCCGACTTGTGCTCTTCAAAGACAGCTCTTGCAACCCCGTACCTTCCACGACCCTCCCCTACCTGTCCTTTCGCCCTGTCACTGGGTGACATATAACCCCTATAGAGGCACCCAAAATCCACTGCTCTGTAGATAGACCTCGACAATGCAAGCAGAGACAGTCCACAAACCTAGGACGAAATTCTCCCAATGTACACGGCCACCGCTCGCCGGGTTCTCTGAATCAAACTGGAGCATTTGTTTTACCAAGGCACAGCTCCAAACTCCCATCCAGGAGAACCATAGCCAGGGGGAGCCAACTTTTGATACGACAGACGGGATCGTCAAAAGCGTTAAGATGCAGAGAACCGACAGAAACAGTCGGATGTGGCGGCCCGCAAGAACGTAAGCAGAGTTGACCTTCATCTTGCGGTCGTCGACGACATCCTGGAAGCTGTAAGCAGTGTTGAAGTAGAAACACCAGAAGAAGACGAGGAGTATGATCGGCGCGCAGTGCCCGACGATCTCGGCAGCCAATTGCTCGCGTCCGTTGATCGAAGCCCAACCCGTTATTGCTGGATAGCCAAGGGCGAGGCCCAGGATGTACTGCGGATAGATATAGACCCTGCTAAAGACAGGTCGCTTCAGCCACGGGTAGATGATGATGATACCTGTGAGCGGAAGCATGATACTCCAACTGGATTGGAGTAAAATGGTCAGTTTTGACACCGCTGCGTCCTCGAAGAGAAAGTTAGAGATACGTACTTCTTCTGCCCATCTAGAACTCGATCTAGAATATTCACAGACAGTGCGTACTGACTGGCCATCCACGCCAACGCTATTGGGGTGGACACTCGTCCAGATGCTATGGGCCTGGCTTGCGTCCGAGCTACTCTGGCATCGATGGCTCGGTCCACCAGGTCATTCCATGTATTCCCGGCCCCGCATAGTAAGAGACAGTGTATGGCGCAAAGAGTAGCTTGCTTGAGAATGTGCTCGATGGATATACTGCTGTCGGCCGCTTTCAGCCTGAGAGATCCCGCGATCAGGGTAGACCAAACTGTTTTGCATCAGTAGCAAGAAAAGGACATCAGACACAGTAAACAAAAAGACGGGTATTAGTCTTTACCGGATCCAAATAAAGTGTAGTAGGGGAAATAGCGGTTATACCGCGAGGTTTGGATCAGGTCCAAAGCACATTGCCATGGCTTTGATTCCGCCATCATTTCTAACCTGGGTCGGCTGCATGAACTGAACAAAAATGGGGGACTGTGAAGAGTAATCAGTGTAGGAAAGTAGACTGAAGATGCAGGGATAAGGCAGACGGGGTGTATCGATTGTAGATAACAGGTGGAGGGGAGTACTGTTACTTCGAGTTGACCGCAAGAGCGATGCAAGGCGCAACAGACCCTGTGACGGGGGATGTGAGCCAGCAGACCTCGACCTTGAGGTAAAGTAAGGGGGTTCGACAATTTGTTAGCAAACGTATGCGAATACAGTTAACTGCATAAAAGAGAAAAAAAAAAAAAGATAAAAGATGATGGCCCAACTCTGACAGGTGGCGACACGCCCCCGTTCACTAAAACAACACCGAGTCGTTTCGATCACTCCCCTACAATGTCCAACGAGAGGTTCAAGGTTATCATCGTCGGCGGGTCTATAGCTGGTCTGACCTTGGCCCATTGTTTACGCCGGCTCGGGATTGACTATGTCGTTTTGGAGCGAAGAGACGAGATCGCGCCCCAGGAGGGTGCATCGATTGGGATAATGCCAAATGGTGGCAGAATATTGGACCAATTGGGCTTGTATGATCAGATTGAGGAGCTCGTTGAACCTCTATCCTCGGCTCACATGCGGTACCCCAGCGGGTTCAGCTTTCAAAGCAATTGGCCAAACAAATTGCGTGAGCGGTGCGTTTCTTGGCCTGGATTCGTGTGTCCCTCGTCCTTCGTTCTAACCCTCCCCGAGGTTTGGCTTCCCCCTCGCGTTTCTTGACCGCCAGAAACTTCTCGAAATATTATATAGGTCGCTTTCCGATGATGGAAAAATCCTGACCAGCAGGAGAGTAACTCAAATCCAGCATTACGAAACTCATGTCACCGTACAAGTTGAAGATGGGTCTTGCTTTGACGGTGACATTGTTGTCGGGGCAGACGGCGTACATAGCAAGGTACGCGAAGAAATGTGGCGACTGATGAATTTGATGGAGCCGGGATGCATGAAAGAAGGCAGAAAGGGTGAGATATAACTAAGCGATGAGACACAGACAGACGGATCTGACATGATAGTACAGATATGACGATCGAGTACGCGTGTGTGTACGGCATCTCATCGCCTAACGCCAGTCTCACCCCCGGTCAGCAGATTACTTGCCTCAACGACGGCTGGAGTATTCTCAGCGTCATCGGCAAGAAAGGCCGGACCTTCTGGTTTCTCTTTCTGAAACTCGGCCAGCGATACACATACGGTGCAGCACCAAGGTTCTCTGCCCGGGATGCCTCCTTCTACTGCGACAGATTGCGCGACGAACCATACTGGGGGAACGTCAGGTTCGGTGACCTTTGGGACCGGCGAGAGGCGTTTAATATGGCACCGCTGGAAGAAATGCTGTTCTCTCAGTGGCACTGGGGACGAATAGTTTGTATTGGCGATAGTATGCACAAGGTATGTACTCCTGAGCCATCAAAGGCTACCTGATGTGCGCGCCGCCCCTGACGTCCGCTATTCTAGATTGCCCCTCATACAGGCCAAGGCGCCAATTGCGCCATAGAAGATGGGGCAAGCCTCAGCAATCAGTTGTACGAGCACTTCTCCAAAAACTACACCCACAAGCCCTCCTCCCTCGAGATAAGCCGGATCTTCCAACGGCTAACACGGGACCGGATGGGCCGCTTAGCGGATATAGACCGGACTTCACGATTTGCCATGCGACTACAGGCCCGCGATGGAGTGGTCAGACGGCTCCTGGGCCGGATTTTCCTGCCTTACGCGAGAGACAAGCTGGCAGACTGGGCATCGGCAGACATTGCTAACACAGTCACACTGGCGATGCTGCCAGCGTCGAAGCGCAAAGGACCTGGATGGGAACAGTTTAAACCAAAATCCAGGGTGTCTTTGGGAGGAATTGTGGCTGGGTTTCTCTTCCTCTGCGGTCTTATAATTGCGATTACAGCTTAGACCCAGGGTTTGAAGTTTACCAGGGACGACCGCTTTAGAAGCTCATACGATTTGAAATGGAGTTTATTGCAGCATGTACACTCGCCTGACGAGCCAGGTAATCTAATTATAACCCTTCCTGCTCCTAGGAATAGATGCCCCTAGTGTGGCTGGCTGCGGAACTATATAAACCTAGGCCCCCACTACATACCGTAACAGTCCACGTGTTTCTAGCGGATGAAAACTGAATACGAGTCACGCGAAGTAGTACTGCTGAAAATGCGAGAAACTGGGCTTTTACTTGGATATTTGAACTACGGACACAATGACGAGTGTGGCATATCTTGGCAGTTCATCGCCCAGCTGTGCCAAAGTCTACCTGTGTGCAATGAGCGAGTGAATTCCACAAGGCATTTCCTATGGAGCTTTATGATTGATATTCTCTAGATAAATCACTAGGGAAAGAACTATGATGAAAGCCAACACAGGTAGAAAGGAGAGAACAGAAAAATTGCAGCCTAAAGGCGCACATGCCGTTTGAGGAACTCGTATCCATCATCTACAGCCCTTCTGGCATCTTCGGACCCCTGGAAATCTGGATATATATCAAATAGGTGCACGGCGTCCTCTACCACCCTAATCTCCGCCTCCACGCCGTGCTGCACTAAGACATCATATGTGGACCTCGTCTGCGTACAAGGAACAAGATCATCCCTTGTTCCATGGATCAAGAACGTCGGCGTGCGGTACCGCCCGGCGCGGACCTGGTAATGCGGGCTGACTGCTTGGATCTCCTCTTCGGTGGGATCGCGAATGGTTTCCGTGTTCTGACCTTGCATCCACCCGTTGATGAGCATCCGAAGAGTCTGCCCAGTCCAGTTCATGTGCAACGCAATTCGACTACGCGGGTCACTCGCTGACATCCACCCTCCTAATGCCCGTTGCTGTGGCGGTGGATTATAGCTGGCAATCGGACTAGCGCGTACCCCTTCCCAGACATCGTACTTCATCTCCCTTGGCGAGACCGCTTGTTTGAATGGGAAGTTCGGACGCGCCCAGAACGAATCCTCGTAGTCGGAGGGGCAATAAAACGCCAAGATGGCGTCTGGTGCAGCGAGTCGCACCGCGGGGGCGGTCCACGAGAGCGTCATGGCGAGATGGCCACCGGTAGACCACCCGACAGCCACAACGCGGTTTCCGTCCGGCCGGATATCCGGACGCAGGAGGGGCAAATTTGGTAGGGTGCAGCGAACCCAGCGAAGAGCGTCGCAGACGTCCGCCATAGGGCCATCTGCTAGAGAGACCTCTGGGCACAGTCGGTAATCAATGCTAATAGGTAGGAACCCGGCGCCAACCAAGATTTCAGTCTGGTGTGGACGAATGTCCTTGCGCGAGAGCATAACATGGCCGCCTCCATGAATCATCAGGGCTAAACAGAGGTATTAGCAATGTGTAATTGTAGCATAGGACACGTGGAATACTCGTACCAATTGGTCGGGGCGTCCGCAAAGTGTCAACCTCATCGGGATAATATATATCCGCCTGCAACTGAAGAGAGCCTCTGCAAGCCCAGACAACGGTTTCCCGTTTTACTGGCTCGGTGGAAAGTCCTTGAGTAAATCCAGGCACTCCTGACGGTGACCCGACGATAACACGCAGCGCATTTGATTCCAGAGTCTGATTATCAGTCCAGCCCACCCACTCAAAGCCAGCCTGATGAAGCGTCTGATGCCAAAGCTGTTCGCTCGCCAGAGCATGGTCGCGGCCATCATCAAACCGCCACCAGCCATCGAGGAGGCCAAACACGAGATCTAGCCAGAAGATATCACGTGTCAGCTCGACGAGACACACGATTCCGTTGGGCTGCAAGAGGGTACGGATATGCGAGCAGCTCTGGACAATGTTCCGCGTCGCATGGATGCAGTTCGTCGACAGCACGATGTCGTACTGGCCGTGTAAACTTGAAGGAGGCTCCTGCTCGACATCCAGGGTCTTGTACTGCACAAAATTGTATTTGCCGAACTTCTTTCGCGCCGCTGCTACAAGTGACGAGGAGATATCCGTAAAAGTATATTGAATATGAGTAGTCGTTGCTGATAGGTTCCAGAGCTGCTCGAGGAGAAACTTGGTAGTGCCTCCAGTGCCGGCACCAATTTCGAGTATCTTGATCAGCCGACTATTCCCAAGACCTTGGATTACATCCATCAGATACCGCTCGAGATAGAGGTTGCCTGATTTGAACACTGGGGAGTGCGTATAGACATCCTCAATCAGACGACGAGTCTGGGAATCACGGAAGATCAGCGATACTCCGTCTGCTTGACCAGACAGGCAGTTGGCCAGCTGCGGACCTGTGATCTGGAGAAGATCGTGCTCCAATGCGTATGCAGGGTGTTCACTGCGTATCTGGGTGTGCAAGGCCTGCGAGGAGAGCGGGGAAATGGGTGTTGCTGTCCGCACAAGCTTTCCTTCTGACGTGCGGCAGAGCAAGTTGACGGATTCCAAAATCACATACAGGTGATTTCTTAGGGCTTCGTGGTGTGGCACAACAGAGATAGTAGGGACCACATCCCCTGCCTGATAAGATTCTAGCGGGCAACCCAAGGCCCGGAATGCTTCCACAACGTACGCCGTAATGAGCATCATTTGCTGAGGATAGACAGTGTGGAAGAAGTCAGTCCAGTGCGCATCATCAGTGTGGGATACTGCCGTGCGTGTTGCCTCATAACACTGATAGGCCACTAAGTCTAGCGACAGTTTGTCATCAGCACCCACAGTGACAACAGGCCCGGTGCGCGACATGTCAGGTCCATGGGGCACTGTTTCTTCCCCTACAGGCCGCGAAAGGGATACTTTGGGACGCTCTGGAAATATATGCTGCGCAAGGCTCTGAATATCCGGAATTCCCACCAAGGTTGAATACGACATATTGACCTGGAATCGCTTCTTGATCTCCGATAGCACTTCGGTGCTCATAAGAGAATCTACTCCAATATCGATCAATGAAGTGGCCGGAGGTAGCTCATTGATACCAACGCCAAATAGATCGCAAAACATTCCCTGCACAGCTGCAAGATCACGGTCCACATCCATCTTGGCAGTGGCTCGTTCGTGGGCCAGCGGCTCCTCTGGTGACTGGGTCTCAGGCGGGACGCTGCAAACGGCGACCGGATTTGCGTCTTCAAAGCTGTTATTGTTCAGTTTAGCCAGTGTGCGGGTGAGAGAACGGATCGAGACGCCCGTGAAGGAAACGCCCATTATCGCGACTACTAGACCATCTGTCAAACTATCCTTGACGTATATGTCACACGATATCTGGCTCTTTGATTGCCGGGCGTAATTGGTATAAACCTTCCACGACGGGGGGAGAGCTTCCGTATCCCCCCTGAGTAGCAGTTCGTCGATGAAAATTTCCCCTATAGCGTTGCACACTAGTATCGTGTCTTCTTGGCGATCAGAAAGACAGTTAACGTGAATACCCGCAACCTGCAGAAAATTGTCTAGAAGAATAGGGTTGCAGGTGGTCTTAGTAGTAGGCGGTGCCATGGTGACAAAACCTACGGCTTCACAGCCGTCTGCAAATACCTGCTTAACACCACGAAAGTAATCTGCGTAGTTAGTCATCTGGCGGAGCGCAGAGTAGACCATTGATCCCTTCAGCCCGCTCGACGTCGGTTTTTCCACGATTGCTTGGCCCCTAGAGTGATTGACCAATCGCCCTATAGAATGGAAACAGACCACAGGACGGGAGTGGTCCCGCAAAAGGGAGACGATACCTTTGGCATGAGTGACCTTATCATGAGTCGTCTCGCTGTTGCTGGAAACGGAGAAGGACCACATTTGGGAGCAACTTGGTCCCTCAGGAGACAGTAGCACATGCACGTCCCCTGGCGGGTCCAGCACCAGTGGGGAACAGATGACGAGATTCTCGATATGAGCCATTGCTGGCGTCCAGGTTGCATCCAAGGGGAAGAGACAAGTCGTCGCCCGCAGGACCAGCTCCATATACATGGATGCAGGACACAACGGCTGGTCGAGGACAGCGTGTCCCTGCGTGCATGTCTTGTACAATGCGTCTTGAGTGTTTACGGCGAATAAAAACTCATCTGGCCCGCCGCTCAGCTGGTGTAACAGACCAGTTGGCTGCCGGCTTGCAGCGTGTGAGATCTTCGATGAGCCCAGGGGCAAGAGCGCAGCGGGTTCAAAGTCGACCCAGTGGGTTGTCTTCGCGAACTGATACGGAGGAACATTCAACCAGCTAAAGGCCTCGCTCTGCAACCGGTGGAATGGCCAGAACTGAACGCGGATGCCCTGCGCCCAGAGGCCGCTAGTAACAGTCGCCAGATTTCTGGCGGCGTCACGCCCACTGAGGTCAACCTTGAAATATGCATGCGATGCAGAGGAGTTTTCCAACACCCGGCGCACCATGGAGATGATGGGTGAGGCGGATCCAGCTTCTAGCCAGACAGCTGGACCTTGGAGATTTTGAGCTACTCGCTCGACAGCGCGCTGGAAATATACGGTTTGGCGACTATGCTCGACGATTTTCGTCGGTGTCACTGTCGACCAGTCACCCATTACGGAACAGTCTTCAATGGGAATCGCGGGTTTACGGTAAGCGAGTGACCCTGCCACCTCCGTGAGGCCCGGCGTAATACTGTCGATGAGCCTGGAGTGGAACGCATGCGTGACGTCTAATCGTCTCACCCTGATGTTATTCTCTGAGATGCTTGCGGCGATTAATTCCTCGACCGCCCGTATGGATCCCTCCGTGCCAGTCAGGATCACTTGCTGCGGCCCATTATAACAGGCAATATCAACCCCGTGGCCACTCTGCGTGAGCACCTCTTCAAGAACCGTTTTCGGGCCCTCGAAGGCAAGCATCACACCGGACTCTGGGCCCCAGCAGGCCTGGATCAGACGAGCACGTTCGGCGATCAAGTAAATGCCGTCGCGAAGGCTCAGGGTACCAGCCACAGACAGCGCGGTGAGCTGACCGAAGCTGTGGCCCACGATGCGGTTGACGTGGAGTCCGGAGTCCAACCATGCCATTGCGCATGCGTACTGGATGGAGAAGAGCAAGAAATGCAGATGAATGACGTCCGTGATTGGGTCTGATGCAAAGATCGTAGGAAAGAGACTGGGAAGGCCCAGTGTTTGGCCCACCTGCTCACATGCCACAAGGTGTTTCTGTAACAGGACGCAGCTGTCAAACAAGGTTTTTGAAATGCATGCCGTCTGGCTACTTTGACCGCCGAAGCACAGAATAATCGGCGGTTCGCTGGCTGGTCGCTTCTGCAAAATATCGGCAGATGCGCCTGTGGCGATGGCCTCCAAGCGGGCGCCTAATAACCCGGAGTGCGAAGAAATTGGAAAAGCAACATTGAATGAGAGGGCTCTGTTCTGCTTGATTGCCAGGTTATACGCTAGGTCCTGGACTGTGATGGCAGACCACGAATTGCTCAAGAGCGCAGTGCGGAGGGCACCGCAGTACGCCCGGACGGAATCTTGCGTCTCCGCAGAAATCAAGATCGGAACATCCAGCAAATATCGAGAGGTTGCGTCCCCTTGCTTGTTGGCTCCCGTAATGTGTTCTCTTACTACGAGTGCAGCGTTGCTCCCCGACGCACCATAATTGCTAACCATGGCAAGTCGTCTTTCCGCTTCCCATTCGGTCGACTCTACGGGGATTATCAGTCGGTCGTGGTCGAGCGGCACGACCTTGGGGTTCAGCGTGCTAAAATTCGCTTGTTGCGGGATGCGCCGATTTTGCAACATCAAGATCGTCTTCAACAGGCCGGCGACCCCTGAGGAGGTCTCGGTGTGTCCGATGTTGCCTTTAATGGACCCCACGTACAGGTCCTGCCGCCGGTGACGGTCACCAAACGCCCTGCGGAGACTGTCCAACTCGATTGGATCGCCAACTTGCGTGCCTGTACCATGGTTACTCCGCCGTCAACGATTGAGAAAGGGAGGAGATCAAGATGCTGGAAGGGGGAAAGTCAATAGGATCCATACCTGTCCCGTGGGCTTCCACATACGTGACCTGTTCAGGGGTCACCCCCGCGAGAGACAGGGCCTTGCCGTAGAGCGTCAGTTGGGACTGCGCGTCGGGTACAGTGATAGGTGATTTGTTTGAGCCCTGGTTGACGGCCGAGCCAGCGACCACAGCGAGTATGGGATCTCCGTGGTCGATGGCATCCTGCAGAGGCCGTAGCACAACGAGCCCAGCCCCCTCCCCACGACAGTATCCATCTGCAGCGGCGTCGAACGGCTTGCACGCTCCTGTCGGAGACAAAAACGATGCGGCAGCCAGGTTCTGGTACACCCTGGGGTTGGTGAGTACATTCACGCCGCCAGCCACAGCGATTGAGCACTCTTTCGTCTGCAGGGCCTGCCGTTTTCGGTCACAGGTCAGTCAGTCTCCTTGGAGCAAAAGTCAAACCCGGACGTCTTATTTACCTTGCATGCTAGATGTATCGCCACCGCCGCGGACGAACATGCTGTATCTATTGTGATTGAAGGCCCCGACCAGCCGAAGAAATGGCTAGTGCGCCCGCTGATGAACGACTGCAGGGTTCCTGTGGCCGAGAAGGCATTTGCATGCCGGGATGCTACATTCTCGGTATAGTCCTCGGATCCCACCCCCACGTAGCACCCGATATCCTGCGGCAGCTGGGTCTGCTGCCATCCGAAGTAACCAGCCGACTCCATGGCTTCGTACGCTACCTGCAGCAACAGGCGCTGCTGCGGGTCCATGGACTCGGCTTCCCGTGCTGAGATGCCAAAAAATCGATGGTCAAACACATCTGGGTGCTGAAGAAAGTGGCCCCAGAAAGGACCGCTGGGCTCTCGCTGCAGCTCCGACATCCGAAACCGACTCTCGGGGGCCCTTCGCACGTTGCATTGTCCCAGCTCTAGCAGGTCCCACAGCTCCCTCACGGAGTCTGCGCCAGCATATCGACAAGCGATCCCCGTTATGGCAATCGGCGGCACCTGGCCATTCTGCGGGCGGGGGTCGACATTGTCCTTTTCTTTCACCAATGGGACTGCGGAAACGCCTGCTGTTTGTCCGTTGACGAGACCATGTTTCCTAGATGCTATGGGAAGGCTTTCTTGGGACACTAAACGGCCTCGGGCGGATCGTGGAACGAATTCCCTTGAGCCGATGGATAGGAGGCGGGACCCGTCAACTTCCAATTGCCCATTAGTGAGCAGTGATGAGACGGTTTTCGCCCAGTTTGCCCTTGCGCGGAGGATCGTCTCCAAGGCAACGGTGTGCAACATGGTCCCCGGCTCAATCACCTCGCCGTCTTGGTTTGACCGAAGGGGAAACAGCAAGGTATCACTGTGGGGGAGCTGAAAGCGAGGGTCCCTAATGGACAGCTGCATAATGTGCTGGACGCCTGTGTCGTGCGCTTCACGGTGATGGAACCGACCCCGCAGGGGAATCTGCTTTGACCACAGCCCAAAACCGCTGAGCTGCTGCTTCATCCATTGTGCGCTTTGGTCAGGAAGCGTAATGGTGACGCTGTTCGCATCTGTACGGCAGGAGATATAAACCTTTGGTGTTGTTCAGCATTCGCTTTAATATAGTCTCTTTTCGGCTTAGGCATACTCACATTGGGGTCCTGTGTCAGGATGTGTTGAAGATGGTCATAACTCTCTTGAGACTCCCATCGTATTGCCATCGATGTAGCCTCACCAGACACCATCTCATCCAAATCGACCAACGCTCCGATACAGACAGCGAGCCTTATTGCATTTGAGGCCACAGCCTGGAACTCACGTGCGTCTCGTGAACATGCGACAACGATCGCCGCGAGGATACCTACACAAAATCCTTGTGTATCGATTATCGTCGGAACTGCAGCTGGAGATGTTACAGAAGACTGTGGTGGGAATGCCGGATGTGCTGCTACATGTTGGAGGTTCCAAAATTCAGCTATATGTGCCATGACCGTAAGTGGAGTTAGAATTATGTTCAGCCGTTCACTCAAGGGGCTGGCTGGTAATTCGTTGTTGACAAGCTGGGCCAGTGCAGCAAGTCCGCTCTCGCCGGGCACCTGGTCCAGCGCTGGCCAGGCTTCTGAAATGACGGGCCATAACGAGGGAAGCTCATCCAGAATCTCACGAAGAAACTGTAGCCCCGATGGATATTTCTCTATGGCATCTCGAATGCGGGTGATTTGGTCTCCGATTTCCGTGCATTGGGGTCCAAAAAGAAGACGAAGGCTTCCTTCGGGGCACTCTGTGCATAGTTTCATAGCGAATAATGTATCAATCACTGCATGTATATTAGGAATCAAACTGATGGGAATGGGAACCACATCCATAAAAATACTAGGAGAGCACGAGCGCACACAAAGCCAAAGATAACAGAGGAGTGAATGTGGCAGGTGAGAAAGGACAGCCTGAAAGAGACCTTACAGCCCCAGCCCCCGTTGACTGATTCAATCTCACAGTCAGGTTGATTTCATTCCCCGATGTGCTCCGACCAGTAACCTCCACCTGTACTCTTTTCTCCTTCCTCGATCGAGGGCATTGATTGGTACATACCACTCAATACCCTTGCATACAATGCACATATATTGATGGGCAGTGACCAGACGGGTAACTCCTCAAAGGAAGCATCGGTGTAGCATTCATTGTACAAGGGGCTGATAAACTGTGGTCAGTGTTGATAAGAGATGGACGGAGGAGGGGCCGGCATCAAGGGACGGCATGTCAAAACTGGCAGGTTGTATCTTCTTTGTAGCCAGATACTCTTACTAGGGAAAACCCGCAGCAGGCTGCACAAGCGGGGCTGCATCCATCCATAATGAGGGATCACTAATGGTCTTTTGGCTGAAGGTTTACCTCATGCCAACTATTCCACAAAACTGACAGCTAATTCATTCTTCTTAACAGCACGTTCACCAATGCCTGTTGAGCGGTTGTTCTTCGTACAGGACCAGGTGCTTCTCCGCCTCATAAGCAAAGGCCGTCAAGAGGCACCTGCTAGATTCCACATATTGCGTTGTCACATTTATCGCCGCTGGCCGCATAATTTGGCAATATCAAAGAGGAGTTACCGCGGTGGAACGAAGCCACAGGATCCTCATGATTCGGAGTTCAGAGAGCTTGTTGTTGACCTTGACATTCATACTATTCGGCCGGGGAGAGACTCATCGGCGGAAGCAAGCTCCGCCCTTGGCCACCTGGATGAGATGAAGTAGTAGGCTAAGAGGTGTCTTGCCTGTAGTGTCCGCAGTATAATAGCGCCGCGCTATGCCGCAAGGGGGGCATCAGTACTGAGAGAAACCCCTATCGGACACCACGGGTAGAGTGAGACCTATCAGTCTCCTGGCAGAGAAATGGACCCGAACACTCCACTGGCTGGGCCAGAACTTAATGCTAGATTACATGTTTTGGCCGACCGGGTTGCATCTCCCCTCACCGTTTGCATGCAGGAGTTCCTGGCCTGTGGGCCTGGCTTTCGTCGACAGAGAGTCATGCTGACCGCCAGAGAGGTTGATTCACCGCTTGTTCCGCCCGCTGAAAATAGGCTTTTGGCGATTGCAGTAGTCCATACATTCCCTGGAATGCGAGGGTGATTGTCCCTTGATGGCAGCTGCGTAGAACAATTCCACTTGTGAAGGCCCAAACCGGGGGGACATTCAAGGGGTTTTGTACATTGTTGATGCTGTCGTGATGCCTATCAATGCCTACACCAATTTTGCTATTGTTTAAAGACCCAAGGAGGACTTGAGACAATCAGTTTGTGTGTATCTTTTCCAACAATCCTCGAGTAAGCTCTCAACGCGTCATGGAGGAACTCGTTCGCCAAATTAGGTCCTTTGCCGACACTGCCAATGACAATGAGCGAAAGGCCCTTATCAGTACCTTACGCGCTACCTCAATCTCATTGAAAAAGCCCGATGACACGTTGGAAAGAATCGCTGTTGCAGTACGTTAACCCAGTATTGAACTCTATGGACCGCAAGACCTTTCACTAATGAACCGCGTCAGCCACTTGAGCTTTGTGGAGCAAAGATGGGAGTGGACTTGCAAGTCTTCCGGCTCCTTTCATCAACCGATTCACCACGGACCTTGGACGAACTCACCAATGCTACTGGGGCAGATCGCCGTTTGCTAGGTAGGCCAGCGAATACCCACAGCCGATCAGCCCCAGTCTGATAATAAGCTTAAAGCACGTGTGCTGCGCTATCTCACAAGCACGAAAATGATTGACCAGCTTGGTTCAGAGAGATTCACTGCTAATAATGTTACTCACGCGTTGCAATCCCCAAAAGGCGAGAACTTTGTTGAGGTGTAGTAGGTCATTCCCCATCCTCTCCCCAATATGGAGATGCATATATATACATGTACTCATTCTCCCCGTACTGATTAATATGACAACATATAGCTACCAAGTGCTCACACCGATCTTCTTTGAACTACCTAAATATCTGAGAAAAACCTCTTACGCTGACCCAGCAGGTTGTTCCCGGCTCCCCTTTCATGATGTCCATAACTGGGAGGGGGATCCATTCACCTACAGCGATGCCTTTCCAGAGACGAGCATAAGACAGCGATCCGGCTAACTGCGGACTTTGCCATCATCGCCCAGGGCGTGTTCGCCAGCCCAAGGATACCCGCATCTCCGGCGGCCCTGGAATACAATGGCAGACTTTTCCACACGGCTCGGTGGGACTATGGTTTTACGGGAGGGACACCGGAAGACCCAGAAACGACCAGACTAAGAGACAAGAAGGTTGCCATTATTGGAACTGGCGCAAGTGCGGTACAGATAGTTCCCCATCTCGCGCTCTACTGTAAGGAACTACTAGTGTTTCAACGCACGCCCTCATCTGTGGCCAAACGTGGCAATCATCCCACGGACCCGGGGTAGTGGAAAATGGAAATCCAGTCTGAGACCAAGGGATGGCAACGAAGAAGGATGGAGAACTTCAATGCCTTCACTTGCAATCAGCAACCACCTCCAAAGGTCAACATGGTAGCTGATGGGTGGACAGAAATACCTTCTTTCAGTTTGCTTATAGGGGCACAGCAGGGCCTCGATCCAGAATACGTCAACCAGATGCGGGAGGTGGATCGAGCACGGCAGCAGAGGATACGGGATCGTGTCCATGATATCGTTCAAGCCCGGACAATTTCTAACCTTCTGGCTCCCTGGTATCCAGGATTGTGTAAGCGACCGTGTTTCCATGATGATTACCTGCCCTCATTCAACCGGCCAAACGTTAAGCTGGTTGACGTTCGAGATCATGGGATCAGTCATTTTACAGCCAAAGGGATTGTGGCTGACAACACCAAATATGAACTGGACGCTGTCATCTTCAGCACGGGGTTCACTGTCGCAGCCACCTGAAGCAGCCCTGGGTCCCGTGCTAATATTTCGGTCACCGGCCGGCACAGCCTAACAATGGAGGGCAAGTGGAATAACGGTCTCGCAACTTTGCATGGAGTAATTACTCGGGATTTGCCGAACCTCTTCTTCTCTGGGACGGCCCAGGCTGGGGCATGCGCCAACATGACATATATCCTGGACCAGAGCGCGATTCATGTTGCCTACATTCTCTCGAAGGCAAAAGAGGGCGCAAGCGAAAAATGTCCTGGGGTTTCGAAGGTGATTATAGAGCCAACTGCGGAGGCGGAGGAGGACTGGGCCATGGAGGTTGTCTCGCGTGTGGCGGCTCTCCGAGGGATAGCTGGCTGTACGCCAGGATATCTCAACGGCTATGGGATGATTGCCCAACCAAGCAGCGCAGAACAGCAAAGAGAAAGCAGCACGTCTGGCAGTCTGGGGAGAGGGTATTGCGAGTTACGTGAACCAAATTGAAACATGGAGGAAGGAGGGAAAACTTCACGGACTCGAGCTGACATACTTGGAAGAAGATGCTCTCTGCCCTGGGGAATGGGCCATATAGGGGCACCGGGAATATCCAATGACCAAATTATCCGAACGTTGTTCGCAATCTGAGGTTAATACGGCTGAAGTTTGTAATATTCTCCAGAGATCTACTAGACAACTCCAGTCATAATAGACGCCTGTCAAACATCTCTGGGATACTTGCATATTCAGTATAGAGTGTATCAACGCGTAAGAAAATCCTGCCGTCGAGAAAATTATCGTCCGATAGCTGCTTAACTCCCTGCAATGGCAGGACCGTTTCCTAACAACCAAATCACGACTCGAACTAGAGCCGCAGGCGAGTGCAAGGCCTAATTCAGCACAAGTGTGCATGTTGAGAAGATAACGGCAAGGAGAGGCAGCTTAACACTTCTGTTATGATTTATCCACCGGCTTTGACAGTGGTACCGGTCCAGCCAAGAACCCTTGAGCGGGCATCAAATCCTAAATTTCCCGTTGGATGAATTTGGTTTTTGGCGGCGAGGGTATTTTCCCAGCGGTTACTATGACCTCCATCAGGGGTTCTCCAAAGTCTAATAGAGAATGTCCTATCTCACCCTTAGAGTATCTTTTGCCCTCACGGAAAAACTGATATCGAGCTCAGTATCAGACTCACTGTTGTACTTATCATCAGGCATGCAACTGATACTCCGAGACAGTGTTTTTGGATAACTCCCTGATGTGTCTCTATGTGTATATAACAGAAAGGAACTCTCGAGTCCTTCGCCCTTCAGGCTTCAGCTCCTGTATCTACGAAGTCCTTGATCGAAGTACTGGATACGATCCTAACTATACTGGTCGTGGATTGGGTTTGGATGGATTTACAAGGGGTTTAAATCCAACCTATGTGGATTATGGGTTGATCCATGACCTATCTAAACCACCCTTATATCCATGCGGATTGGATTATGGATAATGGATATATCTATAATAGCTAGTCAGGCGACCTACCACCTATTTTTCTACTATTCTATAAGCAACAACCCCCGCCACGAGCTTCCCAATAGACCCATTAAGCCTGTTGGGCGTAAATGCCTACCAGTGAGCGTCCGCCGCAAGGAGCCTACTCCTGAGAGTAGAGCGCAATCTTGCAAGTAACCCTCACCAGATCATATCGAACTGCCCCCTCGCGATCAACTACACCAACGACCCAGCTTAAAGCAGCAATAAAGAAGCAAGCACATAAGTTCCCCCCCACCAAGACCCGGACCCATTGTCTGCGCCATGGCCACTTGAAACTTGATGGAAGCAGCGTGTAACAGACGGAGTTGCAGGCCAGGAGGAATCAATGAATTTAGCAGTTAGGATTAGACAGGCTGACCCAATCCGCAAATCCATAATCAACCCGCCCAATCCGCACTTTGGGTTGGATAGGGGTTGACCCTGATCCAATCCGCATGGATATGGATGGATGACATCTAACCTACATGGATATGGATAACCCATTTGGTGCACGTGATCTAGGGCCTTAAGGGCCTGATAAGCTTATCTAACCTAACCTAGGCCTAGGTAGGGATATATTTCTATATTTATAGATATCGTAGTGGTGTGGCACTGTGGCTTCTGAGAACAGTTACTGGTCGGAGGTGTTTGGCTCTCGTGCAGAGCCCGATTCTGGCCTAGTTTTTGGCGGTCACGACGGTCATAGAGATTTGTTATGTGACTGTTTCGAGGGATATACAACAGACTGAGGTTGTTCAAAGTAGTCATATGGCTACTAGTAAAAAATGAAAAGCTCCGTAAGCTGGTAAACGGGGAGAGCCTTGATGAGGAATCGCGTATCTATTGATAGCATATCACGATATATATTATAATATCGGGGTGAGGCAATGCCCGCCGCTGAATAAAAAGGAAGATCATCCGAGACAAAGTGCGGATTACTAGGATCAAACCCCAAAGGGACGTAGGCAATCTGAGATTGAAATAAAAAGACTCCATGAGAAATCGGCACTTCGTCTTCATCTCGAGCATCCCACCTCCACCTATCGGAGAACCTATATAGGACCTCTGATTGAATCACAAGGCTGCCAAATCCTTACAGAACAACCACCTAGTGGAAGACCCATACCCCATCTCCTGCCAATCATTGATCGTATCCGGGAAGAAACGGATCCTCCCCCTCAAAGTATAATCATGAGAAAGAATTACAAACACGTCGTCAGATGCATCTAGCTCTTTGATTTTCTCCACCGTCTCCAACGCCCTTGCATGATCACTAGCCAGGACGGGCGAGACCTTAAACAACGACTCATCCCAGGTCAGGGGGCATGCTGCGCAGGGGCTTAAGCCGGGAGGCGAGCGCTGGCCTGGTGGTAAGGGCCGGTATTTCGTCGGTCGAAGAACCCCCGGGTGATGACAAGCGTCTGCGCCCATAAATACAAATGTATCGGGAGATGTGGTCACCCTAGCCAGTCCGCACATGTGGCCGATAGAATGGCCGGGGGCGTTTAGGAGGTAGAAGGATCCGTCGCCAAAGTAGTCGAATGCGTCGAAGGGGCCGACTTTTAATGGCGTTTGGCCAAAGGATATCTCGCGGAGTAGACGGCCTTCAATGTCTGAGTCAAGGACTCGGCTGGTGGGATTGGATGGGTACCCTGGCCAGGCGTCTCGCACGCCCGGGCCCACGACTAAGTTGGTGGATGGTGGAAAGGTGGAGGGATCTCCGATGTGGTCAAAATGGTCGTGGGACCAGATAATGGCTTCAATGTTCGTGGTCCGGATGCTCGATTCTGGGATCGGCGTGGTGTCGAGGATATCCGCTATGTTTCGGGAGTTGTAGACTGTGGTGGTGTTTCTGATGAGCGCGGCAGCCGCGGGTGCCAGGTTCTCCCAGTCGGCCCGGACACCTAGATCAAATAGGATATGGCGCTCGCCGCTTGAGATCAAAAAGCAGTACATTGGTACAGTCAGTTTGTCAAGTCCATTGAGTGCGGGTTGCCAGAAGAGCCCTGGCTTAAGATCAAGGGTTGTGCCTCTTAGCGAAGAAGTGAAAATTAGGTCTCGTCGATTGTGCCCCCTGAGAAGGCAGGGATCGTCAAACTCACGGATCAATCACCCTCACGAGGGCTGTAGATGTTGACGAAGGGACGTCCAGTGGAGGGGGCTGCAGCGCTTCATTCAAACGTACATGGACGTGCAGATCCCATTGCTTGAATAACCACGAATTTTCAAGCTTGAGCTGGAGTGGCTCGACAGCGGTTATCTCATATCGCATGAGAAGAGCCGGGAGCAGTTTCTTCATCTCAAAGATGGCGAGATTACGGCCGAGGCATGTACGTCGACCAGATCCGAACTGCAACATGTAAGCTTCCGAAACTCAAGGCAGCGAGAGAAAGTCCAAAACGCACCGTGAGAATGCCATTCTCAAGTCTTCGGCGGTCTCCCTCGCCGAGGTTCAGCCACCTTTCCGGCCTCCATTCGTCGGCGTCGTCGCCGTAGGTGTCTCTATCCCGGTTAACAATGTATGGGCTCATGCCAACCACTGTACCTGCTGCAAGATAAGTGCCGCAAACGGTCACGCCGCCCTCGGGAACAACGCGCTCAAAGGGTAAGCAGAATGGTGGATGCAGCCTCAGGGCCTCCATGATGCATGCATCAAGATATGGAAGCTCTCGCACCTCGTGCCAGGACGGGTATGGGCGTGAAAGGCGCCCCTTCCGTTGGGCGTTGGATAGCTCTCGGGCTAAAGTATCCATGGAAGTTCGGCAGTTAAGGAGATTATACATGACGGCAGTCAGGGCGGTCGCAGTCGTATCTGATCCGGCAAGCATATTGGAGAATGTCCACGCCTTGGGGGCCCTAGGGTCGATTAGATGAATTTGCAGGAGTCTAGGTGGGATGAGAGAAGATAGATCATACCATGCAGGGATCTTGGGGTCCTTGGCCTGGATTTCCAGAAATTTGGAAAGCATGTCCCGTTTCTCCCGTTTGCCCTCTGCCCCGTGTTGTGACGAAGACATTTGGCGTTCAGCAACAAATCGATCCACCACCCCGAGCACAGCGAGTCCTGTAGTCTGTTTGAAAAGCGCAATGATGGGGTTCTTGTTCCAAACTGGGTCAAACCAGGGTATTTGGCCAACCTGGAAGAAAAGGAAGAGAAAACATGAGCAAGAACTGGTAAATAGGTCGGTTGAACTCACCGGAGCGACAGTCTTCATGAAGGCCCAGATGCCTCCCAATATCCCGCGGACATCCCTGCCTTGCTCTAGAAATCCGTGTCGCTTGCTGAACGACAACATCCCCATCACATCAAAGGCAAAGAACTGCAACCATTCCGCAAGATCCAGCGACCGGCCCGTCGCACCGAATCGCAGGTCAAGCTGTCGGAAAAGAATCTCCAATGTCTGGTCCACCAATGGCTCCGAGCCCACGATGCTGGTCATGGAATACAGCGAGGCAATTGGCTTTCGGAGCTGTCGGTGGAGGGTCTCATCCTGTGTGTTGAACACCGCGGGAAGAACACCGCTCTTGGGCGAATATGGCCTCTGGGTTCGATAAAAGTCACTCTGTCCGGATGCGCAATGCTCAGCAAAGGATATCAATCAGCTCACTGGACTCTCACCTTTTGAAACCCCGGCCGGTTGGGGTAGACGATAGACATGGCACCAGGATCGGAAATGGACACCATGTTGGGGCCGAATCGGACAAGCTTCCCATATCTTTCGTGCATTTGGCGATGATATTCATGGGCGCGCCCGGATTTCACCCACCAAACTCGCTGAAGGTTGGTGAATTTGGCGATAAATGGTCCTGGGACATGGCTGAGGCGCACAAAGCTCTGAAACGCCCGATAGAAAGCGTACAAAGCGACCGCGGCAGCAGCAAGCCTGGGAATATCTATCTTGTCCAGCATGGTCATGTTTGGCTTTGTTCCCGGTCGGGTCCCTCCTGCCTTTCGATTACAGAGATATTGATTAGAAGGAACGGGCTTTTGGTGCCAGAGACACCAGGGATTGATTCTCTCGAAAAACCCACGCAAGGCGACGTAACGCGCTGAGCAATAGGTAATCATGCAGGTGCTCTTGATGCAAGGCGCAAGGGTCACCCATGATCTATTATGTTGTGACCTACGGGTGATCCTTTGGAGATATCTGCGCTTGCTTGAACATTGAATTGTCCAGCTGATTGTGTATCAGCACCAGCCCTGCAGCTGGAGAAGCGTCCAGTTCACCGCTGCTTTCTTAACCCCTTGGAGCTTCACAGGGAGATACATGTTGACCGCCCGAGTCAGTTTCTCCTGCCGGAGCCACCGTCTCAGTCTTTACGCATTGAAAGAAAAAGGCTCGATATAGATTTCCCCCCATGGTGCGAACCCCTAATGAAGGCGCGCTGCGCGAATTTGCAAACCCTTCGCCTAACTTTTACATCTCCTCTGCACCTCCCTCCTCCTCTGCCCTCTCCTTTTATTAAACTGAAACTATAGATTTTCCTTGGGGTTCGGGATAAACATTCCAACAGAGCAACCATGGGCAGATCCAAGCGAGCTAAAACGAAAAAGAATGCGAGAGTTTCGGGAAATGCAACTTCGTCAAAGGGGGACGTTTTCCTTTGATTTTGATATTGGTCCCTCCCGGGGCGCTGGCTTCTTGTGTGGTTTCCACGCAGGGCCTCGATGCTGCCGCGCAATTAGCTACTACTCAGTCGTACATGAGACAGATTCAAGTGAATTTGAAGCCCTCGCGAGCTGCTTTGTGAAGTTTATCATGAACTATCTCTGGAGGATATTATTACTCTTCGTGATACTTCAGCCCTGAATGCATGTCTGGAACAGAAATTCAATCGACCACTCCTCTCAGTCATCTGATTATCGGTCGCTAAGTTCTTGAAACATACTGTGGAAGGAATCTTAAGGCTTTGTGGAAAGATAGCCAGAGAAACCGGTTGATGTTTACGGCTTCTCTATCGATCATTGAAGCTTCATAGACCCAAAGGCATTCTGTTATATCCATTATCCAGCACTGGCCGAATAAATGTTGAACGGCATTGAATTATCTTGATATTGAAAAGTAAATAGGACATTCATGCACACTTCCCATTATCGAGGCTGACCTGTCCAGCCGGAAGGTGCAGCATGCTGAGCCCAGGATTGGACAAACTGGCTCAGTTCTATTCAGACGCCTAATATGCTTTTCTGTGTCCCGGTTATAAACCCATAGCATTACAAAGTAGTGACTTTCCAAGTGCCATACCAGTAACAGGTATTCACTAGGCCAGGAAGATGCGCAAGATCCTGCTAACCCTGTAGCTAATCACCTCTTTAAGATTTTGTGCTTTCATGTCTGACTCCTGGCCGTTCCAATGACCCCTCAATCGGGCTGAAAAGGGAATAGGTAGGGAGACGTTGTGGATATGCCCATGGAGGATCTGGGTAAGCCACGTCAGGAGCCTCCATTGTCCAAGGCAGCAACGGTTTAACCCATTTCAGGAAACACACCCCCCCACCCCCCCTTCCTCCTCTTTTTCCTTAACATAGTAAGGAGCGGAGAAACGGAGTTGGGCTATGTGTTAGCGAATTGTCTTATCCTCAAGCTTTTGCCTGCAGCTCGCAATCCAACCTTGCTTCCTCGAACCCCTGTTTCTGTGCAATCTGTGCGGGACTAGGAGACAAAAACAAAGTATCTGGTCACAGTTGAACAGGGATGTTTAAAGAAAATCTATGGACCACTCAGGGAAGACATCAAATTAAGCACAGCAGGGCGCAGTTACCGCAATATTGTCAATACTTTGATTGTGTTCAGACATCCAATCTCTGCATCTCAAGTCTAGGACTATTTGCAAGACAGATTCCTTGCTGGACAGCATAAGTTCTCACCCCTTCACCGCCGCTCTGTTCCCCACCAGGAAGAAAGAATGCGCCAGGTTGCGACTTGTGGCGAGGGTCTTTCACCACGCATGCAGCTTGTACAACCAAGCATCTCGATGTTTCATTCATGTCCCTAGGCATGGAATGCCATGCAAGGATGTCAAACCAGTCGCTCGTCCACTATAACATGTCAAGTCGTATCATGTTTTTTTTCTCTCCAGATTAGCAGAAAGGTCTTTCCTATCATTCTCTTTACATTGTCTGTTCCTACTTGCTCAAGAATGGCCCGCCCTACTACTGTGTCCAAGCCTTCAATCCGCCGTGTTCCCGCCAAAGCTGGAGCGGATGAAATTATCAATATCTTGCAGGAGGACGGTGTGGTCGTTATCGAGAACTTCTGCGCTCCAGGCGTTATTGACCGGCTAAATCATGAATTAGAGCCGTATTTAGCTCGCGACATCGATCTCCCCAAAAACTTAGCTGAGTTTCACGGCCGTGGATGAAAACGGATCTATATCCTCCCCGCGAAAAGCAGGACATTCCGCGAAAATCTCTTAAACGATACCTTAGTTCATGATATCTGTCGAAAGATTTACTCTGAGCGGCAGCTTGCTGATTACTGGCTGAGCATGGCAGCAATGCTGGAAAACTCGCCCGGAGGATATAAGCAGGACTTGCATCGGGACCAGATGTTGTTCCCTCTGTGCAAGGCGCTTGGGGAAACGGGACCCATGGTCATGATCAACTTCTTCGTGGCGCTGAGCGATGTCACTGAGGAGAATGGTGGGACCCGTGTTATCCCTGGTAGTCATTTGTGGTCGGACTTCAGTGACAACGGCGAAGCTGGGATGACTGTGCCTGTGGAGATGAAGGCAGGGGATGCGTTTCTTCTGGGTGGCAAGACGGTGCACGCCGCTGGGCAGAATGTAAGCCAGAATTCTCTTCGTCGACTCATCATCTTCGGATTCCAGCCGAGCTACCTGACTCCCTTTGAATCGTTTCTGGGAATACCGCGCAACATCGTTGACGGCATGACGCCTCTTGCTCAGAAGATGGTTGGTTGGGGGTCGCCCACGGTTGAGGGGTTGACTTTCTGGACGATGGATTCTAAAGACATTGGCCTTTATCGGGATAGGGAAGGAGAAGAGCTTCAGCATATGCTCCGCGATCAGTAGCACATCTCTTTTCCAACAAATACATGTCATCCTAGGTGCTCGGTAGGCAATCCGGTCCATCATTTCTAAAGCCATCTCTTCTCAGCAAGGAATGAACTTGAGTACTCTCCGCAGCACCTTATTTCTAGCCACATAAAGTTCTTATTTGCGGGAATCTGAATCTCCACCGACCAACATATATATATAGCCCACATGGAAAATTTTTCGTCTGTGATGAACACCTGCGATGTTAGAAGGAGCGCGTACACGTACTAATAGCTCTGTCCTGTTTTCTCATATGCGCAACACCGCTGCACAGTCTGGGTTTTCTCAAGGGAAGCCATCCTATTGCATAGGTTCCCAGGGGATCCCGAGGCCTTACCTACGGGCTCCAATGCAAATCAACAAGTCGAGCGAGGACCATTGCCTTGCTGTTGCTACTTTGCGCGATATCTTTGAGCAAATTGGCCCGTGACTAGGAAGAGAATGCGCGCAGAAATGAAAGTATGTCTCATGCTCAGCAAGGTCATGGAAATGTGAGTTTCTCATGGTCTTGTGTTTGATGTCGTGGTTGACAGCACTGCATACTCCGTGTTTATGGACCAATGGACCATATAGCCAGTTAGGGCTCTGCAAGCATGGGGGATGTTACCTTAGAGACGTTTAGGGATATTCAGAGATATTCAGAGATATTCAGAGATATTCAGAGATATTCAGAGATATT